CTACTTAATTTGGCAATTAATAAATCAATCACAAGTTAAAATGAGTGTATCTATTCTATGGCTACCAACAGGCTGTTTCCAAAATATTCTTTAATTATGTAAGACCATATTTGAAATTGTTAGTTCTAAGTTATTATATGTATTTCAGTAGTCATAAAATTAGACATGAGTCTGAGTTCTAAAATAAAATTTCAGTTCATCTAATCAGGCATGACAGGCATGTGTTCATTCACTGTTAAAATGAGTGTATCTATTCTATGGCTACCAACAGGCTGTTTCCAAAATATTCTTTAATTATGTAAGACCATATTTGAAATTGTTAGTTCTAAGTTATTATATGTATTTCAGTAGTCATAAAATTAGACATGAGTCTGAGTTCTAAAATAAAATTTCAGTTCATCTAATCAGGCATGACAGGCATGTGTTCATTCACTTTGGGTACAGTCCCTGTCATCCCTCTGCATCATACTTTGTCTTTCTGAGGCATTTATTTATACTATAGAGCCGATGTTTATTATTCTTTTAAAACACTGTCATCTAATTCCTGCCCTATGTTGGAGACTGTATTAATCAAAGTTACCCAGAGAAACAGAACCAATAGGAGACATCGTGTCTCACACATACACACACACACAAACACACACACACACACACACACACATACCAGTGGATGATGTTGATCCACACCAGGGAAGAACAATCTTTTTCATTGGGTCTATGGATCCAAACACTAATCTCACCCAGAAACTACTTTGCAGATGAACCCAGAAACAATGTTTAATCAGGACTCCTTGGCCCAGTCAAGTTGACACATAAAATTTACCATCCCAGGACTTGCCTGCTCACTTCCCACTACAGAAGCTGAAAGTGACAGATATTTCTTTTCCCAGGCATCTTTGCACCTTAGACCAGCTCCTGGTACTCAAACTCTGGGTATCGGTAAATGTTCTAGACAATAAAGCCTCGTCACCTATACTGGAGGGTGAGTGGGAACAATACCAGCCTGGACCTGGTGGTGGCAGTAGAACAGTCTTCACTGGGCTGGTTCTGTGTCACCATATCATCATTTTTAGCAGCCTAGCCTCCAAACCTGAGTCCATTGTCCACCAGGGGTTACCTTCATAACAAATTCCTTTTCTGCTAAAATAGGAGAGCTAGTGTGAATTTCTTTTTTGTTTTGTTTTTGTTTTTGTCTTTTCAGACAGTAGCCCAGGCTGGTCTTGAACCCCTGGCAATTTTTTCTGCCCCAGTCTCAGGAGCGTTGGGATTACAGGTATGATCCATCATGCTCCACTAGTTTCTGTTTCCTGCAGTGATAAGCCCCAATTAACACAGGGTTAAGCACATGCTTATCAAGGTGTCTTTATTCGGTACCAGGGCATGCAGCATTCTGAAAAGCACAAAAAGGAAAACTGTTCATCCTCTGAGCACTTATAAGACAAGTCACCCTGCTGGTATTGGGCAGAAAGGCAACGATGTATGAAGCTAGGATTTGCAAGCCAACATTCTAGGCACTGGTAGGAAGAGGAAGGGATACTGGAAAATTTAAAGTGGAGACATGTATATTGATTTTAAAGCTTGCTTTAGTATGGAAATGGGAAGTTGGCAGAAGGAAGACTACTATTTGGACAATATTGTACACTATCAATTCCAAGAAGCAAGATTTCCTTTCATTTTTAACATGTATAAAGTTGGGAAGTTGGTAGAGTGTCTCATGTCTTAATCGTCATTTTTTTTTTTTCTGTTCAACCCGTCTATATGAGATGGCTCATGGGTAAAATGCTTGCCACACAAGCATGAGGACCTGAGTTCAGATCCGCAGCACATAAAAAGCCAGGTGCAGTGGCATGTACCTATAATCCCAGCATTGGGGAGGTGGAGACAGGAGGAAGCCCAGGGCTTGCTGGCCAGCTAGCCTAGCCAAATCAGTGAGCTCACCATTCTGTCTCCCAAACTAAGGCACAGAACAAGAGAGGGAGACATCCAGTGTCAACTCTGCCCTCCCCCATAGGCTCACTCGCATGTGGACATGTGCCTGTACACACACATGCACACAAATGTACACACATAGACCACATACGCACACACAAACTATACAATTTTTTTAATTAGAGAAAAGAAGCTCAGTAAGAAATGATTTAAATATGCCTGTGCCTAACAACGTATTGGGAACTGTAGACTAGAGGGTTCAAAGAAATGCCAGAACTTAGTTGTAGAAATGATATGAATCAAATATGAAATTCATTTTTTATGTTTTTATTAGGCAAGGTCTCACTATGTAGCCCAAGCTAAGCTCAAATTTATAGTCCTCCTGCCTCCACCCCCTAAGCTGTGGTGTCACATGTGTGCACCACCAGGCAAGGTCTAAATTCCTTATTATTGTTCACAGTCTCCTTAAGCGATTAAATAGTGATGAGTTTACCTCTCATTTGTGATCTATCAGGTTATTACACATACATATATGTGTGCATATATATACATATATACACTATATATATTATGTACTGAGTTCATTTAATATTGCTTGCATTTATATGTGTTTAGGGCTGACCACTGGGCATTGAATAACACATTACAGAGCTCATCCCTGGAGAAAATTAATTCTCCATCTCTTAGCAGCCATTTCTAGCAGCAGGCGTCCTGGTCCTCTGGCTCTTATAAGCTGTCTGCCCCTTCTTCTGGATGTTCCCTGAGCCTTAGGTATAGGGGTTGCATTGTAGATGTATCAATTGAGGCTGGGATCCCCATGGTCCCTTATTCTCTGCATTTTGACCATCTGTGAATCTCTTCACTAGTCCCCATCTGTTGCAAAAAGATGCTTCTTTGATGAACAACATGAGCTACTTTTATCTGTTAATATAAAGATAAGTATTTAGAATATAATAATAAATTATATTGGCGTAAAAAAGTGGCAGTAATGGATTCCCCCCAGGGTCTGTGACCTCTTCAGCCCTGGGTATTTGGCTGCGTTTACAGTACCAGGCATGGATTCCCTCCTATTGAATGAGCCTTAAGTCCAATTAGACAGCTGTTGATTACCCTCAAGATAAAAGTGCCACTACTATGCCAATAGGAATATTTGACTGGACTGGTTATTGTTGTGGTTCATAGGCTTCACACCTGGGTAGGATCATTGATTGCTTTTCTCCCTTGGCAGCTTGCACAGCACCTTCCAGTAGTATGAGAGTTAATCTTCAGGGAAGAGGCTTCCAGGTCAGTTCCAGTGCAATTTCTCCAAGTCCTATTAAGTATGTGCTATCTTCAACAATAGGGTCTGTCTTCAAGTTCTGGGAGACAACCAAGAAAGCTGGAAACAGCTTATATTGTTTTAGGAGACTCTTGAACTACCCTGACCAGCGACCTGAAGGGGAGAGAGTTCTCTTTCCTGGTACTTGGATTTTTGTTAGTTTTCAGTTAAACACACGCACACACACACGTACACACACACGTACACACACACGTACACACACGTACACACACGCACACACGTACACATGTGTACACACACGCATACACACACGTACACACATGTACACATGTACACACGCATACACACGCGTACACACACGCATACACACACGTACACACATGTACACACGCATACACACACACGCACACATGCGTACACACACGTACACACGTACACACACATACACACGTAC